TTTTCTTTTAGTTAAAGATTTAAAGAGGAAAAAAGATGGCACGGGGTTTGTACCTCAGTAGTTAAGAGCATTTAAAGTCTTAGGTTTGATTCCCCTCTTCCCTAATATAAGATGAGAGAAATGAGAGAGCAATGAAAGATGATCATCTGAAGAATAAATGAGTGAGAAAACAAAGAATTAAAACTTGAAATTGTTTTTAATTTTCCATTCTATGTATTTTCTCCCCTAACATAAGGGCTTAACCGACATTTAAACAAACATGCAGAGGGAAAGTAGCATTGAGCTGACATAACTAGATTAGGTCGTGAAATATGGGCATGGCTTTAGGGGCCGTCGATGTTTTGTAAGTTTTTCCATGTATTTTGTGAGTTTGCCTTTTCATTATTATGAGGTGTCATATAAATAATAAATAGAGTTATATTTAAATTAAGATATTATGAGACTTTTATTCAGATAATGATTAAATGGAATAACTGTTTCAGGAAGTGGATATCATCCATTATCTCCACGTTTTGGCTAGCAGTTGTCTCTTAATAGGAGAGTCAATTGTAAAGCAACTTGTATAAAAGGCTTGGTCTCTGCTCTCATATTCACATGTTCATATTTTGTATGCTTGTCCTATTGAAAGCCTTGACATTTTGGAATACTGAGAGGAGAAGATCATCTTGTATATTTGATTATGGCTAATTCAAGTAAGTCTTATCTCTAATCGTTCTATTGTTTAATTGTCAAATTTCTATTAAGGTGTGGTTTAAGTGCTAAATTGGTTCCAGATTATTTTGCATACAGTAAACCTTACATGCTTCACCAAGGAAAAAAACTTTGGTCGGCAGGCAGGCAAACCTGAAACCTGTTAGAACACCGCTAACAATTTTTGTTTTTGAGTTTGTCAAATCAATGCATATGAAGAAGGCTTGTGTGATTAAAAAGACATGACGTCTCATAATTGAACACAAAATGCTGCGCTAGGACACACGTGGAGTCTTTAGCTAATGACATGTGGTACTGCAGTTTACAGGCTTAGAGGAGAGAGAGAGAGAGGAATAAACGCGGAGAGTTCAACATGTGATGGAGGGATCATGCGTATCTCATGCATTTGGTTTGGCATTCTTCTCCCCACCCTTAATTAATGCGTACAGCTAATAGCCTTTTTGTTAAAAAAAAAAAGGGATAATAATGTATATATAAGTGCGAAAATGATGTGAGGGGCACAACAGCCACACTGTAGCATCATTCACTCAAATTATAACACATGTATAATTTAAGTTCATGATATATTTAATATATGTTATCCATTAATACTATAGTATATGAATTAGTAACATCATGTAACAGTGTCACGTCACACTTAAAAATTTGTTATGCATTTGGTCTCCAACATGTTTTCCTTATCCGCTATAAAAATTAGGCTTTTTATCAGAAAACGTCTTTGAGGTTCACGAAATTATAGGTTGGGTCCTGTCAATGGGGTCTAGTGGAAAAAAGGCATTGACTTGCAGACTAGAGGTCTTAGGTTCAAATCCCCATGACATCATAGTTGTGTGTGTATGTGTGAGAAATCCTATGCCCTACAGTTTAGACTATCGCTTGTACTAAAAAAAAAATTAAGTTGCCTCATTTTATTTTTATTTTTTTGTCATTTTTTGTCCTCAAAGTTAACATGTGTGCTCACAAGTAATCGTTGTTGTTAGATTTCTCCAAAAATTTGTTAAATTGATAACATGGCACACATGCAAGTCTCAAATATTCAATTATATTATGTCACGTGGATTAAATGAAAAATTCATTTTAAAGAAATTAAAGCTCTCAAATATTCAATTATATTATGTCATGGGATTGTTGTAGCCCAAACTCGCTCAACTTCGGAGTTCCCATGAATTCGAAGCCAATGAGCTCCCAAAAGGCCTCGTGCTAGATGGAGGTGAGCATGTACATATAAGGCACATCACCCCCTCTCCGTTGGTCGATATGAGATGTTACAAACAATATATAATCCTCGCAATAGAAGCCTTTTAGTGAGGAATTAATTGCCTCGCAATATGTCTCCCACATTATTTCACAATTTATTAAGGAGGAAATAATTTTTTCCTCATTGAAAGTGTTAGCGGGAATTTTTTACATTTCCCTCCTTAACCTATGGCGACAAACAATATATAATCCTCCCAATAGAAGCTTTTTAACGAGGAATTAATTTCCTCACAGTTTGTCTCCCACATTATTTTTCACTTTTTTTTAAAGTACCACAATTTTTGGGCAAAATTAAAATAGGATTGTTATAAAAAAAAAACATTTAAATTTTGTTATTACTTTATTTTTTAATTCAAAATTAGATTTTTAGAGCTTTAGGGTGAAAATATTGTCACAATTGTTATGAAACTAGAGAATATGTAGGGAGAAATAAGAGGAAGAAAGAGACAGTATAATTTGCTCAAATCAACTTGTCTTTCATTCATATTTGGTGCCACTATTTATAGGAGCAGAGATACCTGAATCACCTACCACCCATAATTGATAGGTTACAAATACATTGGTTGGTAGAGTACAAATACATTGGTAGGTTACATGTATATAATGATGGATATTATTGTGGGCATCCATAACCTATAAACCCATAACGTATGGATTTATAACACTCCCCCTTGGATGTCCACCAGACAATGATATCATGTTGGACGTGCTAAATGTTGCCTCATTAAAAACCTTGTCAGGAAAAACCACATGGGATAAAAACCTGATCGAAGGAAAAAAGAGTACATTGCACATACATCCAATGTAGTAAAACTGAGGAGTTTCCGCGATTGATTTCTCCCCCTGATCTTCAACAATCTGATTGCTTGTAAAGTCGTCGCATTCCTATACCATATACCAACTTCTGAAATATAGACTTCGGAAGAGCTTTGGTGAAGAGGTCTGCCAGGTTATCTTGGGAGCGAATTTGTTTGACTTCAATCTCTTGATTCTTCTGAAGCTCATGTGGGTAGAAGAACTTTGGTGGTATATGTTTGGTTCTGTCACCCTTGATAAACCCTTCTTTAATTTGAGCTATACAAGCAGCATTGTCTTCATACATGATTGTCGGGGCTTTTGTTGTTGAAGAAAGATCACATGTTTTCCGAATATGATGAACTAGGGATCTTAACCAAACACATTCTCTACTGGCCTCATGGAGCGCAAGAATTTCTGCATGATTAGAAGAGGTAGCAACCAAAGTTTGTTTTGTAGATCGCCATGAGATTGCTGTATTTCCACAAGTAAACACATAACCAGTTTGGGAGCGACCCTTATGTGGATCGGAGAGATACCCAGAATCCGCGTATCCAACAAGATTTGAACCGTTGGAAGGTTCGTACGAATAAAACAAGCCCATATCAGTTGTTCCACGAAGGTAGCGCAAGATATGCTTTATACCATTCCAGTGTCTACGTGTTGGAGCCGAGCTATACCTGGCTAATAAATTTACTGAGAATGCAATATCTGGCCTAGTACATTGGGCTAAATATAATAAAGCACCTATTGCACTAAGATATGGAACTTCTGGACCAAGTATCATTTCATCATCCTCTTTAGGACGGAATGGATCTTTATTTGTGTCTAATGAACGAACTACCATTGGAGTACTCAACGGGTGGGCATTATCCATATAAAATCGCTTCAAGATTTTTTCAGTGTAAGCTGATTGATGGACAAGAATACCATTGGGATGATGCTCGATCTGCAAGCCCAGACAATATTTAGTTTTTCCAAGGTCTTTCATCTCAAATTCACCCTTTAAATATTCAGCAGTTTTAATGATCTCTTGAGGAGTTCCAATTAAGTTCATGTCATCAACATACACTGCTACGATTGCAAATCCAGAATTTGATTTCTTTATAAAAACACAAGGGCATATGGGATCATTAATGTAGCCTTCCTTGATCAAATATTCACTAAGACGGTTATACCACATTCGTCCGGATTGTTTCAACCCATATAGAGAACGTCTCAACTTAATGGAATACATGTTCCGTGATTTAGTGTTTGATTCTGCCAACTTGAGTCCTTCTGGGACTTTCATATAAATATTAGCATCTAACTCCCCATACAAGTATGCAGTAACAACGTCCATAAGACGCATGTCAAGTTTTTCTGAAACTGCAAGACTTATTAAATAACGGAACGTAATTGCATCCATAACAGGAGAATATGTTTCTTCATAATCAATCCCAGGCCTTTGAGAGAAACCTTGCGCAACGAGTCGTGCCTTATACCTTGCAATCTCATTTTTCTCATTACGCTTTCTTGTGAACACCCATTTATATCCCACAGGTTTTACACCTTGTGGTGTTTGAACCACAGGTCCAAATACACCACGTTTTTCCAAGGAATTTAACTCAACTTGGATTGCGTCTTTCCACTTTGGCCAATCAGGCCTTCCTTTACATTCATCAACAGATCGTGGTTCAATATCTTCATAACCTTTTATAATCTCAGCAGCTACTGCGAAAGAGAAACTATCATCGATAACCATTTCACTACGGTCCCATAATTCATCATTGCATGCGAAATTTACAGAAATTTCTGTATTAGGTATCTTTTCCTCTTCAGTGGCTTGTGTCTTTTCAATGACACTTTCATTCTCCGGATGAATTGTAGATTCAAGGTGAATCTCTTTCCCAATAATATCTTCATTAGCGTTTCCATTGGGATTGGGATATACTTTCGATTTTCGCTTTCTAGGAGTTGAGTCCTTGGAACCAATGGGTCTACCTCGCTTCAGGCGTGCAGTAGATGATTCATTTGCTGCAACATTGGTTAATCCGATTGGGATATCAATCCTTGCTGGTGTGTTTGCTGCAGGTATATGTGATTTTGTCACTTTTCCTGTATCAGTGAATGCATCTGGCATTTGATTAGCAATTTGCTGAAGGTGGACAATTTTTCGTACTTCATTTTCACTTTGAGTTGTACGAGGGTCAAGATGAGACATAATGGATATGTTCCAACCCAATTCTCGCCGTTCTTCAGGAACGGTATTTTCTCCCTAACGGCGGGAAGAATGTCTCATCATAGTGACAGTCCGCAAAACGTGCTGTAAAAGTATCTCCTGTCATAGGTTCGAGATAACGAATGATAGTTGGTGAATCAAAACCAATGTAAATTCCCAATCGACGTTGAGGACCCATTTTAGTGCGTTGTGGGGGTGCAATTGGCACATAAACTGCACAACCAAATACCCTTAAATGTGATATATTGGGTTGTCTCCCAAAGGCAAGTTGTAAAGGGGAGAATTGGTGGTGGGTAACGGGCCTAAATGGTGTCTACTCTTAATTCAAACCAAGATAGCTAACATGCAAGCCTAAATGGTGATCAATCATTCAAACTAGCATATTAACTTATAAGCATAATGAATAAGAACAAAAACCATAATTGAAACTTGGAAACTAATCAAACTTGAAACTAAAGAAAAGAATTTACATAACAATGAAAATTAAAGTAGAACTTGGAAAGACTTAAAGGAAAATTTCAGCACAAAGATTTCATTATAACAATTGAAAACTAGAAAGAGAAACTAAGAGAATTTGAGGGAGAGAAGGGAAGGGAGCTCTAGAGAAGTGTTTGAGAGCTCCCCCCCTTGGGGTGTGTTTACAAGCTT